GTTTATCCCCCCTGACTGTTATCCCCCCCCACTGTTATCACCCCCCCACTGTTATCACCCCCCGACTGTTATCACCCCTGACTGTTATCACCCCCCCACTGTTATCACCCCCCCACTGTTATCACCCCCCACTGTTATCACATAGTTGAGTTTTTACTGTATTTTTACTTTTTTTTAGTTTAAAAAATGTTTTTATCATGAAAATAATGAAAATATTGAAAACATGATTTACCGTAAAATACTGCGACAGAGAAACTTTTTAAAATAGTAAAAAACTCCGTTCAGTGCAGTGAAATACTGACAGCATCGTAAGATGAAATATCACGATCTTTCAGTGTACGAACTTTTTCTTACACTCCTAGTTAAGTGAAAAAGAACCGAGGCTCCACCTAGAGGACGATCTAAGAACTGTCCATGGTTGGTTGGAGAGGAGATGAATGAGAAAGGTCATAAAAGGTCACTTGAGAACGGCTTTGATGTCAATGTAAACATCACAGCCACTCAGGACGTCCAGATTCACATCAGGACAGTGGAGCAGTAACGGGAGACTGCACTCTCCACTGAGAGTCGGTACCAGTCTGATTCATGATGGTACTTTGTAATATCTTGTCTACAAAGCTATTTCCACACCATTACATCACAGCAGTATTTTTCACCACACGCAGGAACGCATCCATCACTGGCTCCGCGATCATATCGTGTTCACGAGACAATTTCTTAGCCATAACGTGACTATCACCGTCCTTCAGACGACGCTGATGGATTCTCCTGCTCAATGTTTCACTGCTGTCTCCTCAGATATGGAGCCGCTCACGCTAACGTCACCAACTCCATGCTAATACCTGTTGTAATCAACACTGCCATCAGGGGGCGTGGTTCCATTGTCACACGTTCATCTAAAGGACAAGAACACAAGAAGAAGGAGCAGACTGACTAGACTGACCAGACTGACCAGACAGACTGACTAGACTGACCAGACTGACTGACCGACTAGACTGAATAGACTGAACAGACTGAACAGACTAACTAGACTGAACAGACTGACTAACCAGACTGACCAGACTGACTACCCAGACTGACTAGACTGACCAGACTGACTGACCGACTAGACTGAATAGACTGACCAGACTGACTGACCGACTAGACTGAATAGACTTAGTCGGTCAGTCAGTCTGACTGACCGACTAGACTGAATAGACTGACCAGACTGACTGACCGACTAGACTGAATAGACTGAACAGACTGAACAGACTGACTAGACTGAATAGACTGAACAGACTGACTAGATTGACCAGACTGACTGACCAGACTGACCAGACTGACTGACCAGACCGACCAGACTGACTAACTAGACTGAACAGACTGACTAGACTGACCAACCAGACTGATGTACCATTGATGATGTACCGTCTAAGTGTTTAACCAATCAGAAACATCGGTGTCCTGGTACAGTTGTTAGCACGTTAGCACGTTAGCACGAAGACATCTCTGCCAACAGAACACATTTGATTTGAATGGAAGTAGAAAGAGAGAGAGAGAGAGAGAGAGAGAGAGAGAGGTGGGAGGATGACAAACGATCTCCATCACTGGCCTGGAGGCAGGAGGTGGAGGAGGAGGGGGAGCAGG